GTTAAAATTTCGTCGGAACGAAGTTACGGAAAAATCAATTAACAAACGGAGACGTAACAATATGTATCTAGACAATAGTCGTAACAATAACTGAAATCTGGTATCATAGTTATTAAACATACAGAATTATGATTATATTATATTGTTACGACAGCGGAGGTCACGTGACACTAGTAACACGTGATAAGTGTCTAGAAGGTTCATGAAGAGGCCAGTGCATTCTAGATGCCCTTTATTCTTGTATATAAGTGTGGCAAATAAAGCGAGATAATTAATTGGATAGCAGACAAAGAGATAGGGAGACAGATAATCAAGTCAAGCCGTAAGTAAAGTGTGTAAATCATTGTGAATTATAGCGTGTGTTGAAGTTAAAGTGACTGTGGAAATTATGTGTATTGCAAAGTTGTATTGAGAAGGAATAAACTAGTTTTATTTAAGAAAGGACTTGTATCACTGAAGTTCCTCTGGAAGAATTTTTACGGGAAATTAACAAACGACCAGAGACGTAACAATATCAAAACAATTGATTTATATTCTATATATAAACAAATTATACATTTTTTTATACAACATTACAAATTATACATTTTTTTTTATACAACATTACAAATTACACATTTTTTTGATACAACATTACAAATTATACATTTTTTGATACAACATTACAAAAACAAATTATACATTTTTTTATCTCTATAATTCTAATATAGTCTCTATTCATGCCTGTAAATATAAAAGATCAATTCAGTTTGACAGATCAATACAGCTATTAATAAAATCATAAATCAAAAGGTCTGAGATTTGTATTTTCATGTTTCTGCCAAGGACTGTAATATTATTATATGCCAAAACAATGTTAATTAAATTAATCTTTATAAACACTTGCTATACAAATAAAGTTACATCCTTAGTTTATGCCAAAAATGAATATTTTGTTTCATACAATATGATGCTCAGGCAAAGTTGGTATGTGGCTTAGCATTGATGTCATTGTATTCTCTGTTTTATTTTTGTCTGGAATGCATTTCAAACTTGGCTATATTATATTCTGTATATTTTAATTGGTATATTTTATTGTGTATATTAGTTAACAGTTTTGACCAATACAAGTGCATCACTTTATTTGTCAGCATATTTACCATGAACACTTGCTTGGTGCATGCTTAAGAGTTTCTACCATCTGCAGCTCATCCTGGCACTTGGGGTGAATTTGTCTACATGCCTCTATTGAATCATTAAGAAGTTCATTATTGCAAGTTACAATAACGTTATCAAATTTAACAAAGCTAGGATTTTACCTCTATAACACTGGAAAATTCATAAATTTAAGAAAATAACAGGACTTATGAATGTGGCAGGTCTTGGAATGTTGACTTGTTCTTCCTGCCCTTCACAGGCAGAAAGTCCCCAATCATTCTTTGTACAGAATCCCCTACAGTGTTCTCTCACGAGGCACTCAGGACAGCAACCTGAAAAATTATGTTACAGCACTTGATCTACAAACTGGCATACATTTGATATGTCTAGACTATTTATATGCATGATAATAAGTATCAATGAAAAAAAAAAGCTATTCATCATAGGACATACCAGTGGTGGTACAGATTTGGTCCAGGTCTTCCCATCTATCCATTGGTTCCTCCACCATGTCCTTCTCTACTTCCACCTCTTGTGCCTGGGCTTGTGAAACCACTCTCCCTTTAACGGCAAGTTACTGGAGAAGTTCTGTGTACTTTTTTTGGTTGGGGATGATTTCACCCAGCCTCATTAGAACTTGCCACTGGTAACCTAAAGGAAGAATGCAGAACAAGGAACAACAGTTGCCCAGTTAACTTAATATTGTATGCAGAGAAAAGCAGTGCAACCTTTCGACACTAACAGATGACTAAAAGATCATTGCATAGTATACATTTTACTAAAGACAGGATTCTTATTCTTACTGAAATGGATTTAATTGTTGTTAAATGTTAATAATGGTTTATAATGAGTAAATTTGATGTAAATATCAAATAACATTTCAAGTAAATATATACTTACGCATTGCAGTTTAAAGCATTACAATTGCTTTCATTAGGTTTGACAATTTGTTTGCACATTTTCAAAAATGATAACCTTCTTTGTAAGTGGTTGTTGCATCTTCAAAACACTCGAGATGAGAGAAGGCTTGGTGAAATTTTTGATCAATGTAGTTTCTTGGACAGCCCCAACTACCAATGCCGGTTGAAGACTCTTTCTACTACCTTTTGCTTTGAAGGGATACAGAATAACTTCTCGTAGAATGGACAAAGTTTAGTAAAGAATCCATTTACTTTCAAACTTCTTCAAGACTTTTGTTATCTTACAGTGATGGAAGCAGTTTAGAAATCAATAAAACAAGAGAACAGATTGTTGTAGGCTGAGGACTGGTTCTTTGGGATTGTTGCTAGTGCTTTACCTATGATGCTAAAAGAACTGAACAAGTGCTTTTCTGTGGAGGTTGAGAGCCTTCAATTTTATCAGTCTGTTGTATAGCAGTGCAGCTGGCTACTCTTTTAATTGGTTATGCATCAAGAAGTCTATCTGCTTCTTTCAAAATAGCATCAATGATACTGTTCCTCAAGGCAGAGTTAACTACTTCTGATTCTGGAGGATCATCTTTCAACCAAACAAAACCATAGCTTGGATCCAGAACACCAGTCATGAGATAAATCTGTAAAGCTGTAAAGCTGACTGCTTTCACAAACAAAATCAGTGTGTGAAGTTACTTGCAACTACACAGACCAAGACTGATACCTCATAATTTGATTTCAAGGCTTGTCTCGAGATCCCACCTCTGGTTTTTTATATAAACATAAACTTTTGCTGTTGTATTAGGGTTAGTTTAATAATTTGTATATATTTTTCAAATGCAGAGTAGCTATTAAGTTAGCACTAATATAAACTATAATTATTGGCAGTTTCTGTCATGTGAATTTTAGTTTTTGCTGTGTATCATATTTTTATTATTTAATCATTGTATATTTCATCCTATAGATGAAATATGTGAAAATAATTTTTTTATTTATCAGCTCTAACCTCTACTTGCAAAACTTAATCTTGGAATTAAAAATTGATAGCAAATATGGGTGTTCAAGCCCACATTGCCCCACATTTAAAATTGTCATTCATCATCTGCAGCCTGTTGTCGGAAAGTGTTTCTTTGTAATGAATTAGAATTAAAACAGATTACTTCAAGTGGACCACTGACGGTGATAAGTAAAACATCTGAAAATATACTTTTATGAACAGTATAACAAGACCTAAGATCTCGAGGTTAGGAATTAAAACAAACACATGAAAATTTACTTTCTCATTGCAAATTTCAAAAACATAATACTAAGCTTATCCAACCATTTGCCTTACACATTGCACTGTTACAAAGTAAGTACAGGTAGGTTATTGATTTGTTTTAAACACCTACATACCTGCTAACTACAAAGGTTAATCTTTAACATCTTTCACAGCTATGTGCAATTGGAATAACATAATTTAAAAGTGCATAGAAATGTTTTTATTTTTTATTATAATAGTTTTTGACAGTTTTACTCTAACAATTTTTGGCAGTTTTTATATAAAAATTCTCTAATATTTTGAAATTTAACATTTTATAATACTTGCTGTTTAATATATTGTAAAATTTCAGTTAATTCAATCTTATTTTAAAACCTAGAAAAATTTAAGTAATTTAAATTTTTTAAAAACAGTTTGCATCCAAATTCTAAACTTAAAAACATTGTCTCTAAAACATACATAATAAAATCTTTTAAAATGTTTCCAAAGTCAAATATTGGTGTTATACATATGCATATTCTTCAAAATTAGTTTAATAGTACTATTTTACAAATATATTTACAGTTTAAATAACTTGTTTTTAACATTCAGAAAAGTAAGTTATTATCAAAACTTACTCTAAAGTTACTTATATAACAAGAAAGTGAACAATTTAAAATGTTTTTCTTTCATTGCAGATTTTGTTTGCAACACGTTGTATTGTAATCATAAGTTTTTTAGCTCAGTTGTTAAAGCATTTTAATATACATTTTACATAGGAATTCACTGTTATAATATCATGCATACACTACATTTTTGTAATGTAATTTTTTGATAGCCTTACTTCACAAAAATTTAATTCTTAGAATTATTTTTCTGGTTATTCAAATGTTAAATATTCAGTTGTTTATCTTCTGAAAGTGAGAATTTTTAAATCTATGTATTTTCTCTATTAATATATTTTCCCAATTAACAAGACATGAGTATGAGAACATCAGTGAAATATAATTACATTCACACTAATTTTCTAACTACTTTACTTAGGAAACTTTAAGCTACTAACATTTGTATTATTCTGACTGTTTCAATTAACAATAAAAGTGTTTTGATGTAATTTCTTTTAAAATTTTACATTCACATAGTAAAGAAATGTGAAAAATTTATTTGATCGAGAAACATCTGTGGCACAGAAGGGAATTTTTGGAAGTCTGTTTTGTAGATGGCACTGTATAATATGCAAATTGTACATGTTTACTTGCTGGTATAAAAATAAAAAAATAAATTTCCTGTGTTTCTTCTGGTCTCCTAAAGATAGTGGAACTTTTTCTACTAAAACATGTAGAGGTTTTAATTGTATATTTTACTTTTAACTTGCACAATAGATTATTGTGCCTTTTTAAATGTTGAATGTTCGTATTTTATGAAATCTATACACAATGATAGTCATAGAATATATTGAGAAACATACTTTTAGTGGAAAGTGACTGCTGTTGTAGTTATGTTTTACTCTGAAAACTGTACAAGTATCATGGTTTAATATATTTTTCACATCCATTGTAGAGGCTGTAAGACTGAGTGACCTTCATGTGGTTTTAGGATATATTAAGTGTAATACAGATTAATGAAATATAAATTGCATAAAATTACTTGTTTTTTCATTTAAGCTGATATGACACTATGTATATTACTTTATAAAAGTTATTTTTTATTAACAGTAAACTTAACATTTTCAGACTTATAAGAAAAATGCTCATTTGGTAAAAATATTGACAAATTTTCATATGCAGCACTTATAACCATTCATAATATTACTTTGTTAGTAAGTGTTCTTATAACTAACCATTTACTGACCGATACATTTTTGCTGAAAGATGTAAGATAATGAATTAAACTGATTATTAGGTTTGACTTTTTTTTTTTCAGATTGCTTTTCAAGTACTATTGTAATTCTTTTATTGAGAAATGGTGTAATGAGCTCATGATATGCTGTTTTACACCTCAAAAGTAGGAAATTTGTTGAGGCTCTACAGCCAGCATTCATTTTATGATTAATAAATAATCTTTTTATTCTAAGAGAAAAAGAATGTTTTAACAGTACTGTTACGTCTCCGTTTGTTAGTTGACTTTCCGTAACTTCGTTCCGATGAAACTTTAGCAACACAAGTTCTTACTTAATAAAACTGGTTTATTCTTTCTGAATATAACTTTACCAATACACTTATTTTCAACAGTCGCGCTAAAACAAACGCTATAACGAACGTTAACTTTAACAATACTTTCTCACTGCAGATCAATTACTCACTACCTACACACATTGTTCCGTCACGTTGTCACCATCTTATATATATACCAGACTACCCTATATCTAATAATCTCCCGACTATTCCCGAAGGTTCGAGAGGTGGCGTGACACTAGTCACGTGACCTCGCTGATGCAACAGTACCATATCAGTATAGCCTCGATGAAGGCAAGAAGATAGTACCCTTTATATCACAATGACATGCAGTAGAGTACTGGTTATAACAAAACATTTTGTTTTGCACAAAATATACACATCTATATGTAATCAGAGAAGGAAATACTGCAAATTTTATTTGTTTCTAAAGATACTTGTAGAATTACTTGCTAGTATTATAAGAAAGAACAGTCATGTCTCATGACATCTTTTACTCATAAATAAAATTGCCCAAACAAGCCTTGGCATAAGATAGAGACATTACTATGCATAATGGAGCAGGTTGATGTATGTTTGTATTTTCATGAGTGCCTTTTTCTGAGAATTGCACAATGTTACTGGGGTGATAATACCCTTGTATTTGTCTTGTGATGTTACTGTTATCTGGTGGTAGGCTTTTATGTGTCTTGTGATGTTACTGTTGCATTTAAAGCAGTTTACACACAATATACATTTATTTACTATTATATTCCTATCTTGTGCATATATTTTTGTACTTTTTAGATCCAAGCTTCAAGATTTTGATCCATTTAAAAACTCTAAGGAAATGGCATTTCAGTCCTCTTTGGATGCAGCCCTGTACTTTGGAAAACACATTTTAACTACCATAGAACAGCTTCAGCAGAAGCTTCATAAAGATTCTCCTGAAGTTTTTGAGCATTTCCAGTTATTTCTTCAGGTAGTTTGTCTCATTTGCTTCCCATTCATTTTTTGATAGTTAACTTGAACTTTTCATTACTATACATAATTGTATATTACTAAGAGGTCTGTATTCAGATTAATTGATTTATAACTTTCTATGTATCCATCTTCCTAAAGATGCTGATTACTATTTGTTAGTATAACTGTAAAATTATGAAGTATGTCACTGTATTTGAGTTTTTTTTACTGACTAATGCCTAGCGTCTTTAAACTCAAACAATAAATTAGGCTTTTGTGTGTTCTAACAATTCAGTTAATTCATATGAAGTTGTACATTTTTATGTAGAGTTTTTATTTTGGAGGAAAAATTGGAGACTGTTCTAGGGTAGCTGTTAATATAGAGAAGGGTAAACTGTGGGAAATGGCTGCAGAATGTAAGGAGGAAATTAAGCTTTTGCATGCAAAGGATACAGGAGCCAACAATGACTTTCAAATAGTTAAAACAGTACTAATAGGGCTAGTAGTAGTGTATTTAATGATAATGAGCAGATTCTATTAAGTAGCAGATTTCAGCTTTTTGCTTGTTCAAATGATGAACTTGAGGAGGGAGGGATAACAAAAAGGACAGATAAGGATGGGAGTGACAAACATAAGGAGGTTATTGTTATAGGAGATTCTTTAGTAAGGCACATGCAAAGGATAGTCTGTAAAGTAAATAGGGAGGAAAGAATTAAATTATGTTATCCAGAAGCAGGGGTGGGAGGATATAACCAACAGAGCAAGTGATGTAGTCCTGTAATGCACATATAGCTAATGATGTAGGGAAGGGTAGATCAGAGGAGCTTATTGTTAAGTACATGGCATTAATAAAAGCATTCAAAGAAAAGGGTCATAATAACTTAATTCTACCAGGGATACTGCAAAGACTTAGTTGTTTGTAGGAAATTATAAGTAGATCACTTAAGCTGAAGACTAAGATTAGGTTAATATGTAAAGAAGAGCAGGTTGGCTTGTTGGATGTGTTGGATCAGTTCACTGGGAAGAGGGAGCTTTTTGGAATGGTTGGTTTACATTTAAATAGTGTAGAGGCTGGCTTGATTGCAAGGACTATTAACTCAACTGTACAGGTAACATTAAACTAGTATTAGACACTGAAAAGGGCCAGAATAATGAAGAAAAATTTAAATATACAGAGGGTATAGTATGAAAATAAGGTACAAAGGTAATTTTAATGGTTGGCTAAACTGTTATTAATGCAATGCTAAAAATATAAGAAATAAAATGGATGACTTTAGAGCACTGGTCAGAACAAAAGATTTTGATATAATGGGAATAATTGAAACCTGGCTAAATATAGAAAAGCTTGATAACAGATATTGCTTTGAAATACAAGGTTAAAAGTTGTTCAATAGGAATAAATAGAGCACTAAAAACAGAGATAGGAGTTGATTTATATGTACAATGTGAGTTACAGCATGTTCAAGTTGAGGATATCAAGTTAATAGCAATGAGGTTGAATTTATATGTGGAGAAGGCTTTCAGTTGAAATTTGTTACATACCACCAAATGAAACTGATGAAATTCATGAGAAACTTTACAGTGAGATAATAAACTTAAATGTTAATGAGGTGTGAGAGATTTTAAATTTAGGTATATAGATTTGGAAATGTTAAAGTCAAATCATGAGGGAGACACGTTTTTAGAAACTGTTAAGGATGGATTTCTTCAACAATTGGTAAGGAGAAATGGTTGATAGGGTAGAGATTTGGCACCATTTGAATACAAGTGATCGTTGCTCAATTAGATTTGATGTTTTGCTGCATGTGGAGATACGGAATAATGAGATTTTGGTTTCAAAAAAGAAAATTTTGAAGAGATGAGACAAGAATTATCTGCTGAGAATTGGGAACTGAATTAGTTGGAGATACTGATCAAACATGGAAACTTTTTAAAAAATATATTCAAACATTCAAGATAGGTATGATTTTATTGGTAAAGAAAGGTGGCTGCAAGTAAATAACCAGGGCGGTTCACCAAGGGTATAAAGGGTAAGATTAAAGAAAATTATTGTAAATATAAGAAATTTATATTGACTGCAGTGATGGGAGATTAATAGAAGATCAAGAGAATTGGTCAAATGGGAAATTAGAAAATCAAGAAAGTATATGAAAATAAGTTGGTTGAAAATGTAAAAAATGAATAGTAAGGATTTCTTTAAAAACATTAAGTGTAAGCTAAATGTTAGGATGAGAGTAAGGCCTTTGAATGATGAAACAGGAAGGCTCGTGTCTGATGATTATGGGATAGGGTTATTAAATTCTGCTTTTTTTCTTTAGTTTTTACTCATGAATATTTCAGCAATATTCCTCATCCTAAACAGTTGCTAGATGGAAACAATATCAAACGAGATGATAACATTAATTCTGAACTTGTTAAGAAAAAATTAGGAAGTTTAAAAATGATAAAGTTCCTGAGCCAAATAATATTTAACCAAGGCTTTGAAAGAGGTGAAGGATTGGATATGTGAGTCATTTGCTACTATTTTTTCTATGTCTTTGAATAGTGGGTAGATGCGAGGAAATTGGAAGTTGGCTAATGCTACTCCTCTATTCAAAGGAAATAAAAGCCTTATATCTGTGGTAGAAAAAGTTTTTGAAAGTTTGATAAAAAACATGCTTTGCAAAGTCATATAACAAAGTTTTAAATTTTGTTGAATCATCAGCATAGGGAAAATCTTGCCTTACCAGTCTTTTTACTTCCTTCAAAGAGGTTACTGCTTATGTAGATGAGGATACTTGTGTAGATTTGATGTATCTGGATTTAGAGAAATCATTTGACAAGGTGCTACATAAAAACTTGTTTAAAAAATGTGATCTCTGAAGTTGTATGGGGGATAGGTTGACTCATTGGATAGAAAATTGGCTAGATGGAAGGAAGCAGAAGGTTGTTATAAATGGAGTTCAGTCGAACTGGATTAATGTCACAAGTGGGGTACCTCAGGGCTCAGTCTTAGGACCTTTGCTTTTTTTGCTTTACATCAATGACATAGATGAAGGAATGGTCAATAGATTATTTATATTTGCTGATGACATTAAAGTTTTGAATGTTGCTGACTGTGAGGAGGATGCTACTGTTTTACAAAATGATTTGGGTTATTTAGTGAGTTGGATGAATAAATGACAGATGACATTTAATTGTAATACATGCAAGTTAATGTATGTAGGATATAACAGTGTGACTTATGAGCATAATCTGATTGGAATAAAATTGACACAATTATGCAAGTAAAAGATCTTGGTATTCTGATTTATTTCTTAAGCCATTCAAGCAATATGCTGTTGCTAGTAGCATAGTAAATAGGATTTTAGGTCATATCTACAAAAATATTGAATACAAGACTTAAAGAGGTTATAATTTCATTGTATTGGTCATTAGTTAGGCTAAATGTGGAATATTGTGTTCAGTCTTAAGCTCCTTACCTTTGACATTGAAAAGGGTTCAGAGGAGGGCTACTAGGATGATATCTGGGATGGAATGGTTGTCAAAAGAGGAAACATTGAGACCTTTGAAATTGTTTTCTATTGAAAAAAGAATTAGAGATGATCTTATTGAGATGTTTAATATTGTTAAGGAAATTGTTATTGTTGATGCATCATCCTTTTTTTTTGTACTTAATGGTAGAACTAGGAGACACAAATATAGATTTTGGCAGAGCAGGAGTCATCTTCAGCTAAGACAGCTTTATTTTGCTAACAGGGTTGTTGGCCTTTGGAATGGGTTGCTGTCAGATGTGGTAAATGTACTTAATTTAAGGGAAAGATTGATAAATATTTGAATGATATTTGAATCTATTGTTTAGTTTGATTTAGTGGATAGGATGGCTTAGATGGACCTAAAGGTCCCTTGTTGTCTCTTAATGCTACATTATATTATGATATGGTTATGTGCTGTGTGTGTGTGCAAATATATATATATATAAACAGAAAAATGTGAAGGTGATGAAATAAGTAAATTACACTTTTGGAGATAAAACACTTTAAAAACTTAGTTTAATTTAATGGCGACGTTTCGAGCAAATGCTCTTTTTTTCAAGCCAGAACACAGATAGTGACGAATTACTGCAGAATGTTCTGAATACACGGGAAAAGAATGTAATGCGAGTTAAAAATACAAGAAATAAACAATATAGTGTTGACAATGTAACAAGGCTAAAAAAAAATAGTGATGAGATAATGAAGAAAATATATAATTAGACAAATATATAATTAAATGGTTAATATTGGAAAGTTTAAAAAACTATTAAAAATCACGTTAAAGCGTCGAGCTATAGGTTTATCTAGATCTTTAATCCAAATGCTACACAAGTGTTCTCATGTGCGTTCAGAGAGCATACAGTTTTGATGTACATGTGAAATGGCTGTTAACAGTATAGGCTGACTTAGAGTCCTTAACAGATGTTCTATGATTGATGTAAGGGCAAGCGTTGCATCTGCTCCTCTGGCAATTGTACATACAGATTTCTGTGTAACATGGTTGTTGTATGTTGTTCGGAAGTTGACTGTGGACGAGTATATTTTTAGTGTTAGTGTCACGTTTATAAGAAATCAAGGGTTTATTAGGAAACCTGTGACTGGTGGTACTGTCCTGTGTTAAGATGTGAAAGTTGTCAAGCAGTATATGAGTTAGCTGTGTGTTGAATGGGTGATACGTAAGTGTAAGGGGGAATGCTTTTATGATTGGTGGTAGTAGAAGTGTTTTTGTTGAAGTGAGGTTGGACACGTGTCGTAGGAATCTCTAAATTTTCCAGCGTGTTGGTGTTATAATTACTGAAATGATTTAAGCTGGGCAATCTCTGCAAACTAGAATTTGAATGTTTTTTGTGTGTATGTAGATTATCTTTAGTATGATGAAGAAGAGTAGTAGGGTAGGCACGTTTTTTGAAAAAATGAGCATCTCGATGGATTTACTATTATAATCTATGTCATTACTACAGAGCCTGTGTAATCTGGTGAGTTATAATTTGGGAATGTTCCTCTT